AAAAAAAAAAACAAAAAACAAAAACGACAACAAGATACAGCTACACGGTATTTGTAAGTTACTTGCAGATACATTCGTTCATTTGTAGATGCAAGTTAACTAGACTGTTACAACTGTTACTGGCTTCTACGGAAGGGTTGAGGGGCAATGGTGAGGGGGCGGGGTATTTGTGTCGGAAGGGCTTAGCCTAGAGTGGCCTTAGGGCACTTGCTGCCTTGCGGTTTGAAAGCCTCGCATTCGATGCGCTGCTTCAATGCTGTTCTGGGCCAAAACAATGCGGCGCATCTGTCGGATACTTTGTGTTTTTTTTTTTTTTTCTTTCCTTGAGTTGTTTTTCTTTTCATTTTGCAGCTGTTGTGCGACTTTTCGCAGACGCCGCCTCGTTTACAGTTAACAAAAACAATAGAAGAAGAGAAACGACAGCAACAATGTGTGTACATGCAATAAGATATATCAAAATTAGCATTGCTTTGAATATAAATGCGGGTTTTCCCCGCATCTTGCAATTGCTTAACATGAAAATGTATCTTTAAAGCCTTGTGTGTGTGTGTGTGTGTGTGTTTGCTGCGATTATCGTTGTAAATATTTATGAGCTGCCAATTCAAGTTGAACTGGTAACTGCCGTTCAAGCGCGTCTCTGATGTCATTTTCTGAGCTCATGGCGCGCCCAAAAGCAGCAGCAGCAACAGCAGCAGCAGCAAAGATCGCTGTAAGATTTGCTCATGTAATAGGCGCATGAACGGGCTGGAAAAGCTTTTGTCAAGGCGTTCAAGTTCGTCGTGTTTGGTGTTAGATGTGCGTCTCTAGAGAAACGGCCCAATTAGACACAGCTATACATATTTCTACATACACACATCATATATGCACATATATACATCTGTGTGCGTGTAAAAAAGTTGCGTAGATCTGTCATGCAATTGCCTGGCTCTTGTTCATTTTCAATTCAAAGCGACAACAACAACAACAAGAGCAGCAGCGCACATTTGACAAGTGATATTGAAGCCTCATTAAGACGGATGTCACATATGGAGCAAGAAAACACACACACACAGATACACACACACACAGATAGGGAGGTTATGTCAGTCAGTTTGGCGCTCAATTGGCACGCTTTTGATAACAGAAAACGCAAACGCATTTCAAATGCAATTGCAATCAACAGCAGCTGTCAGCAGAGGCAGCAAAGAAAGAGGAGTGTAGCCCACCCAGTTGGAAATCTGGTTCTTGATGACAAGCTCGGTGACATGTCAGCGATTGTGGCGCTAGATAAGATGTCAGCAATATCGTATCAAAACATAAATACAACAAAAAATACAAACACAATAAATAAAATACAGTTGAGCAGCGATATATAATTTAAAAAGGAGCATTTTTTTAAACATTCGTTTGCTACTTTGTAACACAAATATCAAATGATAATTTGATCAAATCATTCAAAAATAGTAACAGCAGATAAACTCCAAGTTGCCTGCTACTTGAATCTGGTGTAAATGCACTGAGAAAACATTTTTCCTATTTAAAGGCAAGCCAAAATTAGGGTGCTCGATGAAAATGCTGCTGACAAGTCATGCAGCGCGTCCTGCCAAATAGTTAGCATGCCGTGACAAGAGACCTGCGATGTCAGCAAAATGACAGCCAGTTAAAGGCCACGTCTTCGTCAAGTTTCCAACTGGGATATATGCAATCAAGTCAACTGTGCATTTGCATAGGAACAGCGCAGCATATATGTATGTAGCTTACATGTGTGCCCCTTGGCTCCTATGCCTGCCTCTCACTATGCGCTGCCTCTTTTTGCTGCTGCGGCTGCTGCTGTCAATTGAACGAATGCGTCGCGCGTCATCTCTGGCAATTGCAACTGAACGAAATAGAAACGTTTCCAGAGGCTTCGTGAATGAAAAGCGCAAATTGATAATTGAGTTTGGCACTGGCTCAAACTGCAGTTAGCAGTGTTGAAGAGTTGCCAGCCAATTGGGTCAGTGTGACCATGTGACGGCACACACGAGCCAATTAGAGTGAGAGAGACAGAAGCGGAGAGATAGAGAGCTAGAGAGAGGTTGCCAGACCGCGTATATTTATAGGCACCACAAATTAGTGTTCTGTTCATGCCTAATCATCGATTCCTATTGGAATTTGACACTAGGCACTCGTAAATTAAGGCAGCTGGCGCCCACAGACACGCGGCACAAGTTATGTGCCCAAGAGTGAACTGCTCGTTTCCCTGCATCGCATCGATTGATAAGTATCACCAGTTCATCTCCATTCGCCTCTGCTTTTAATTTAACGGTAATAAAAACATCACGTATACGTCCCGCTGCTAACGGCAATGCAATAAAACAAATGCGCGCCCCCGCTTGGCCAGGCAAAAGCTACATCATTTGTTGCCCGCACCCGCCCCTCTCCACACACATCCAGAAAACAACTGGGCGACAAAGTGTCAACCAATGGCAAAGTGGAAGGGCGGGGGGGGGGAGGGGGGGTTCGGGGCGGCTGGCTGCCGCGTGGGCAGCCGACAGCAGCCGCAGCAGCTGCTGCATAACTCGCATCGCAAGATTAAAGCGCAACACGAAACCAAAAATTCCCAATCCCATTTCCATTCCCCAATACCAAATGTCTTTGTCAAAGAAAAATGGAATGGTTAACGTTGCAGCCAAGATATTTTTCTAGCGAATTCAAATGAGAAATAACAAGATGTAAGTGCTGCTCCTGCAGCTGCCGAAGATGAAATACTCTGCAGCTATAAAAAGTGCTCAAAAATATGCTCTTTTACGTTAGAAAATTTACTGATGAGGAGCTATAAGATATTGGAGCTACACGATATCCTGATTCTGGCCAAGAAATCTGGCCAAAATCGGTTTAACACCCCTTTGTGAATCTGGCTTTTAATGCGATGCTGGCCTTTTCCCATTTTCTTGTTCAATTTTTAATATATTGGAAGAAGCTGCAGATAAGTTACAATATTATTTTCAAATATTCAAATACAATCTGGTTCGATTTTGGCTCAGGCTTAGACGAGCGTAAAGCCCAATGGATGTATTTGAGAGTTCGATTCAAACTGGAAAACTGATTTTTTTAATCTGTTTAAAAAACTCGGCATATATTAAATTTGTTTAAAATTGTGATCTATTCAAATATATTATAGAATTATCTGCTTTAGCTATCTTTCCATTCAGCATTGCGTTTTATTCGACATTTCAGACATCTATTATATCACATCAATTAAATTTGTTTTTAATATCTTTTGTACATGCGATAAATTATAGTGAATACTTCTAAATCACTTTTCAAAGCCATTTGTGCAGGGTATTTAAAAATGCGCAAACGTTGTGTTTTAATATTCAAAACACAAAATAACTAAAAAGCAATATATAAAATAATTTCGTATTTGCTGTTAACAAAAAAGAAACATAAATAAATAAAACCTTGTCGCGTGGTCTACACATTCAGCTGTTGCATTTGTTGTCGTCGTTTTTTGTTGTTGTCGTTTGTTGTTGTTGTCGTTTGTTGTTGTTGTTGTTGCATGACACATATTTCTTTCTTGGTTGTTGTTGTTGCTGTTGTTGTTGTCAGTTGTCGTCGTCGGCAGCTTGCGTTTGGAAACTGAAAAGCGCTGAGATTGTAAAACTTAAATGAGAATTGAAATTAATTTGCTGCGCTGCGAGACCCGGCGACACACGGCGTGGGCAGCAATGTGTCTAAAGTGGTTCGGTGGTGGGGTGGTGTATGTGAGGTAAGCAGGGCTGGCGGGGCGGGCAAAGTTTGTTTTAGATTGTGTCGATTGCATTGCATAATTGCAAATGACGTAGAACTGTGTTCGGCAGGATTTCAGTCAATTAGTAAAAACATTGACACACACGCACACACACATGCAACACACATACATATACATATACATATACATATGTTTATTCACAATAGAGATGTGCGCGTGCTGTGTTTCTTATTAAGGCACGAGCCACGATATATATGTATATATATGTGTGTATGTATAAATGTATATATAATTGTATGTATATACATTATCAGAATATATTTATGCCAGCTGCCGACCTTAGCCGGTCCAAGTTTTGTGTTTTCAATTGTCGATATCCATTTTTCATTTTATATTTTACATAGATATTTGCAAATGAGTTTGAACTCTATCCACCATAAGTTTTCCGCCCGATTTAGTTAGGTGGGGTGCAGTTTTAAGCGGAAAAATAAACTTTCGTTTATTCCAATTTTGACCCGCATTGCTCATCCAACAAGGGTGGAATTGCGAAAAGTGTGAGTCACGTATCAAATAAATGCTCACAAAGATATTTTGGAAATGAGCTTGAGACCGTGCGGATGGTTAGCAAAAAAGTTGTATACAACAGTTGTTCGCGATTTTGCCACACTTTCGCGTGGAAAATTCTTCTTAGCATAATTAATTAAAAATTAAATTTTTCAAAAATCAATCGAACAGTCTAAATTAAATCTTCTTAGTCAAATTTTAAGCCTGTATAACACGAACACGAACACGCTATGCGTTTTTGTTGCTAACACGAACACGTCGTGTTTTTCGTGTCACGAATGATAACACGGCACATATGTGCATGTATTTGCCAAACTATGTTCTTAACGAACCGCTGAGCTTGTCATTGAAGCGCTTAATTCTGGCGAGCATTCGTTTGGGTCTGGAAACTGGAGCATGCCACACATGCCACAATTTCTGACAGAACTGGAGAGGCGGCAAGGTCAGATCAGTTTGATGGCAATTGACGCGGAAATTGGAAGTGGGGAGTGGATTGAAATAGTCAATAAAGCATAAACAAAGTTTTGCATTTTGCGCACACTGTCAGCATTTGCCTCTTGTGAGCCGAGGGCTTTGTGGCAAACGCTGACAGCCGTCCAAATGTCACGCTCCATATAATACGCATGTCGCATTCTGAGTGGCTCTTGGTTTGAGGCACTCTTGGCAGGCCACTTGGTGCACTTGACTGATACTTACACTAATTCCCATACTCTTTTCTTTTTTGCAGCTCGTGCGTTTGCTTTACACGTTTGTGTGCCCGTCGCCACGCCCCGTTGAGGCGTGCGCCCATCAAGCAGTCAAGACGACTTACTCGATTATGAAGATGAGCTCGCCCAGGATCATGCAGCAGAAACGAAGTAGTAAATCCTCCAATACGTCCAGGGTCTCGATGACCACCTCGACGGCGGAGGAGAATCTCATCGAGTCGAAGCTCTTTAGCTGGATGCGGCTCTTCCGCTTTGCCTCGCTGCTCTGTCGCGCCGAGTAGGAAAATAAACATATATATGTATTAAGAAACCCCCAACCTAATAACATAATGAAAATGCATTATACATATATAAAAAAAAAGATAAAGTAACAAAGTAACAGATACTCGTGCTAGTTGCCGCTTTCAATTCAAGTTTTCCTATTATGCTTATAAAAAAAAAAAAAACAACTACAAAAACAAAAACTTTAATAAATTTAAATGAAAAAAAAAAGAAAATATTTAAAAAAAAATTATAAACACTTTCTAGATTCCGCAATGTAGACAGTAAGAATTGGAACTTCTTAACGATTTAATCATTTGGCTTTTCTTTAACTTTCACAATTAAGTCAATTTTTAGTGTAAATTCCGCTGGTTTCCGACGGAAGCTATGCGGAATTTGTCGCGCCTTTCGTACCTTTTGTATTGTAATAAGAAATAAACATATATGTGTATATCTGGATCGGGTTACATGTGTATGATATATGGCAAACCATTTAATGTGTTGTTTCTTCGGGTTTTAGTGCTTAAGTTTGAAAACAATAACAGCAAACCATAACAACAAGAAAACGAGATATATTTTTGTAATTTACAACACTGTTTTTGCGTGTCACAAATGAGAAAGCACATGAAACGTTTATGCAAAGCAAATAAAAATAAATACAAATTTAACTAAATGCTAAAACGCAATACTAACAATAATAACACAATATATGTATACATATAGAGGAATATATTTACAGAAAATGCGCTTAGCCAACACTCAAATACAATACACACACACACACACACTTAGGCCCAATCAATATAAATTCATATACTTTCTACTCCCCCCAACAAGTAATTGTAAATTGCATTTAATCCAAAGATGTTGCCAATCAAGAGTAGAACAATTTGAAAACCATTTAAATAAAATATAAAATAAAAATAAAAACAAATATCTAAATGCAATATTGTTTTAATAGTCTTTCAATTAAACCTAACCTCAATGAACAAATAACAATAACAAGCAACAGCAACAACAAATATCATAAATTTGTGAACCTTATTTCTATTAATTAATAATTATTAATTAGTGTGTAAGCAATGCAATAAATGCAAACACTGTACTAAAAACATGGCAAAAATAATGCTTAAAAGCAGAAAAATGTTGACAAGATATACAATGCAATAAATCGATAACGATAAATAAATAAAATCTTTAAGCATGTTGTGTGTTCAATGCAAATAAAATATAAATCGCATTTTCTTTGAATAAATGATGTAGATTTTATAAACAGATATGCTATGATTTATAAAACAATATGTTAATGTCTGCTAACAAAGTACTTTGCAATGTGTTCACGGTTTTTGAATTCAAATTTAAATTGTCGGCATGTTAACGGTTGTGTGATAATAATTTCAATACTAAGCTGTAGATGGCGCCCTAGGCTTGTAAGCTGACAGAAGCTGTGTGGCATAAATACTTGCACTTTACAGCTTAGGCTCCACAAGTTTCCAGTTGACAGCTTGTAGACGCCTTCGTAAATGATTACAGAAAATGTTGTCCACTTAACAGATTACTTTTTACTTAACAGATTAGCACCCATTCGCACAGAGATTAACAGTTCAGCAACTTTTGCTCCCCATTTAACAGCACTCTTAACGTACGTTATGAAAATTGTGCTTATTTGGAAAAGCTACCGATAAAACAGTTAATATTTTTGAAAAGTAATATAATTATAACCATCAGAACAGATTATAATTTCCAAAAGTCGTTCTTCTATTTTGTCTTTGTCTACTCATTGACTCCATTGACTAATGAAATATTGAAAACGTTAATAAACGTCTCCAAATACTAATATTTAAATACCTTATATCGATAATTAGTTGTGCACACAAATCGCAAACCCGATATAAAATATCGATATATCGATACAATGTCAAAATGTGTCCATGTGGCATGTAGCAAAGTTCGTATTGGAACTCGAAGCGACTTGCAAGAAGAATTTGGATGCAGTTCCAGCAAAGCAGCGCCTGTTCTTTATACATAAACATTCGTAAGTTTCGCAAGCAAACAAATAAATAATTGTTACCCTTTATTTTAGTTGTATATACAAACATGTAAATAATTTGTACACTTTATTTTACAGCTTCACAGCGCTGACAATGGAGGAAATTGGGAATTTTTGATTCTGGCGCTGTGAAGGCGGCTCGCGTCTGCGCTTCTTGCACGTTTCGGAATTGGCGCCATTTTGATCGTTCATTCGCTTTGAGCATTCGTTTTGTTTAGAATGCGATGTGTAAACAAAAGCGGCAATAAAAGAAAGCCCAAATCCTCCCTGGGAGCATGCGCGCTCTGCCAATTGCCGGCTAGGGAGAACCTCGACGCGTCTCGGTGAAAAGTTCGGTGAGTTTAACGTTGGCCGAGGAGCATGCTCGTGCAAAGAATTTTCCCCATTTTCCTAGATTTGAATTTCCCAGAAGATCAACAATTTGGCCGCTGTCGGTTGTGCGGCCGATTCAGTTAGTGTTTCGTGCTCGTCGAGTGTTGTTCTCGGTTTTTTCCTCAACAAATATCGAAAGTTTTTCACAGCACAATATAATACATATATATATATATATATATACGACTATATATACAAGTGCATATATAGAAAGTTATATATTATTCAAGTATAATCAAAGCCGATTTTTGTGTCTTGTGTCTTTTCAAATATATAAATCGAATAACGTGTTTAGTTTTCCAAATGGTTGGTTCCAAATACTCAATTTTCATATGCTCAAAAATACACACACACACACACACAACTAAAAAAAACGGATTACATAATCGCAGCATTGTTTTTTTCGATTGATACAAATGAAAAACGTGGAAAAACACGTTTTCCACTTGACAAAAATGAGAATATTGTATCCAATCATGTGCTAGTTAATGCGAGTGCACTTACAGCAATTATATTAAAACACAATTAAATGGATGGCAATTGAGAGGGATGAAGAGGAGGCTGTGGGGCTTGGGGGGGGGGGGGTGGTGTTGAAGAATAATCGAAGCATGCTGCAGTCGGCAATAGGAGCTCAGCATGATTTTTCCGAGCAAAAGTTTAACGAACTGAGTTCATTTCTATTTTTGAATCCATCCATTCGAAAGCACCCAACGCAATGCCGTTGCCGCTGGCGCAAGAGTGAAAAGTCTGCATGGTTTTTCCGCTGCGGAAAATGTGCTTTGGGGACTGATCTATAACACGCCTACACTGTGCAAATTATCATATTCCGCTGGACATTAAAAGAAAAATTTGCTGCATATTGAGAGCAGATGAGGAACGTAAATTTTTTTTTTTATTTGGCAATTTCTTTTTCTTCTTTTTTTTTTTTTTGCGGCAAAATTGCTACAGTGGAAACTGGCTGGGAAAAACATACAACACTTTTATTTAGTTATTTTATTTGGTATTAAAAATTGATTAGAAACAATTGTTTAGGGCTCGATCAGATATTCGAATTTTATGCATTTGATTTAATAAATTAATTCTTTTAATTAATTACTCAAAACATTATTTATTTGTGGATAATGTTTTTGCATTTTTGGCAGAAATCGAATATCTAAATATAAATAAATATATAAACCAAAGTTTTTTGTAATAGAAAGCAGATTCCAGAAACTTGAACTTTTCGAAACTTAACAATTTTCGAATAAATAGTTTTTATCTTCTTGAATTCTGGAATGAACCTAACTAAAACGAATTGCCATTGTCTTTAGCGAATGCTTACTGTATCTAATAAAAGGAAACATTGTTTCTTATTGCGAAATTGTTCATTATTTTTGCCAATTTCACTTTCATTATTTTTGAAATTCTTTGCTTCTACTGAGTTCACTTGAAATGCAATTAAGTTAGCACGACGAACAAGTTTTCGAATATATGTACATTAATTCAATAAATAAATGCCATTTCGCCATCTTCCACACTAAGTTTATGAATGATATCAGTCGACTGGCCAGGCAGCATGTGTTGTATTTATGTCCTTGCCGTGTGCCATGCGGCATCCGAGAGCATATATCACACACGTTTGGGTTTGCGTAGAGGCGGAGACCTTCAAAATGTTGACAGCCAGCTAATCTGGCTGTGCTGTGTTGCGTTCTAATATTTTGCACGATATTAATAATCATAGAGTGTAAATTATGTGCCACTAAAGTATATGCTAAACACACTGTGTGACAACTAAACTAGAAATGAAATCTTTTTAAAAAATTGGCAACTTAAAAGCGGGCACTTTTCGACACACACACAAAAAAAAAACAAAAATCGCTTGCGATGGCGTCAGCGCCAATTTTAAAAAAGTCGAATCAGAATAAAAGAAAAGCATCGAAATCGAGTGCGAAAAAATCGTATAAACATTTAGCCCACTTCCGTTGGAAAATAGCACAATTTCATCAGAGCCAGCCAAGAGACTAGGAATTTTAGAATAGGTCATGATTTATTTGTGTATTGACAGAATTGGGTTGCTGGCTTGCGCTCAGGTGATCGCTGGCCAATAAGGTACAAAGTCTGAACTTAGGAACTAGAAACTAGACTAGAAACTAGACTAGACTAGACTAGACTCTGGTGAAGAAGCGAGCCAATCTTCTAGAGTAGACTGTGCTGACAAAGAGAAACTGCTGAGGAATCGAGAGCATTATCTTTTTCCTTTTGAAAAACTCCCAAGTACAGCTAGCCGCAGACTTTGCCGACTCAGTGTAACTATCATTTTTTTGTACTCACAGTGTAATATGCCCATCTCCAATAAATAAGAAAGAGTTCCCTTGAAGTCAGCGTTGCGTCAAAGATAGAATAGAACCCAAATAAAAGTGAACCCAACGAAAGGCTGTGATTGCTGTGAGAAATAATGTCCGGGCAGCAACAGCCGCCGCCGCCGCCGTTTGGCCATGGACCACGTGGCTGGAATCCACGTGCACCCAATGCCGCCTCACCGTCGCCCTCATCGTTTTTGTATCGGCCACCGTCGCCGTGGACAACAGCGCCCAGTCCGCCGCCCATCATATCCGGACCGCGTCCCTTTGGACATGCCATGTCGCCGGCACCGCAATTGCGCGGCCAGCGTCCCCTGGTCGGCAGCAATAACAATAATATGCCGCATCCGCGTCCACAATGGCCCGGCGGCAATCAGTCGCCGGCGCCGTATCAGCCACCGGGCATGTTCGAGCCGCCGGCGGGCTATCCATATGGAGCAGCGTCAGCGCCGCGTCCGTATCGACCGGCGCCGCTGCAGCAGCCGCTGCATCATCAGAACTCGTATGGCGGCCAGCCGACCAGCTCGTTTCAGCTGTCGCCGACGCCGTCGCCCATCGTTTGCCATACGCCCAGCTCGGATTTCACATACAGCAGCCGGCAGACGCCGCTGTCGCATCAGCAGCCCCATTATCCGCAGCCGGCGCCGCCGCCACAATATCTACGCCAGCCGGGCGGACCAGCACAACTGCCATCACAACCGAGACAACACGGACAGGATCAGATCGATTTTATTGGGGTGCCATTGGAGCCACCGCAGCCCAAGTCATATGTGATCTATGACGATGAGGAGGAGTTTGGACCATCGACTGCCGAAATTATTGCGAATCAATCTCAGGACTACATCGATGAGAAGCTGGCCGAATATCAAATGACAATACTGCAGCTACAAGGTGAGTGGCCTTTGAATATTTAGATCTAATACATAATTTATATTGGAAATTTATGGGCTATATAGATCAAGTTAGACAAAAGAAGAGGCACGTATTTTGCACTCCATTCGGATTGTCAAATTATTTCTTATTCCTCTTTGTTTGCCATCCTTAAGCGTGCAATACACTTTTCGAGTGTCGACTTTTCCCATATTCCTCTTTGCTTCAACCTTCGACATCCTTAAGCGTGCAACTAAAAATCTATTTGGATTGTTTCATATTCCCTTTTGTCTGACGTCCTTGACATATATGTTCAGCTAATTTCATATTCCTCTTTGGTTGACGTTCTTGAGCGTAGATTTTGAAATTCTTCTCTGGTTGAATATAAATAAAATAATCACTTAAACATGGTTTTCTTGGATTTATTTGAAGTACATCTGAAGACAAATGATATAGTAACTGTTAAGTATCATATAATTGAATAAAATATTGCTCACATACTGTTATCATATACCAATGTACTGTTATTATATGGTATCTTATTTTATTAGATGGTCTATTAG